TTTGGTGGGGGCTGGGGAAGCCGATGGCAGGGCTCTCCGGGCTTCCCCCGAGCCACAGCGCTTCTGCGTGGGCCCGGGAAAGCCAGTGTCGGGGCTCTCTGGGCCGCCCCCAAACCACAGCGCTTATGCGCGGGCCGGGAGAGCCAGCGGCAGGGCTCTCTGGGCCACCCCAGAGAGGGAGGACGGGGTATAAGTGTGATAAATAAAGAGATATAAATAAATAAATAAATAAATAAATAAAATGGCTGACATGGGGGGCTGGCCAATCAAATGACACTGGAAGGTTTCAAGCTGAGCTTCCTCTTCCCATAGAGGCCCCTGTTTCCAAATGTGCTCCCTGAAGACACAAAGATGCTGCTTCCCAGGTTCTTCTAAATCACCTCCTGCTCCAAGGTGATAGAGGAAAGCCAGGATGGGCTCTTTGCATTGGTGAAGAAGGGAGAGGTGCCATGGCATCCAGGGACACCCAGCTGGGGGTCACTGCCCTCATCAAATAATTTACAGTTCCCACATCATATGATCACCTTTTGACTTGATCTCTTCCTGTCCTCAGGCCTTATCCCGTGATCAAGGTAAATGTATCACCAATGATTATAGAACAAGTGGCTTAAGAGTTCTCCAAATGTTCTTTCTTGCAGGAGGCCCACTAGAAAGCAAGAGCTTGATGAAGGATTCCTATACCCCAGATGTGATAAAGAGGGCAGTCCGGGACCCCAAGCACTGGCATGGAAGGAAAACGGACGATCTAGGTAGGGAGTTTCTAGATTTTAAGAGCATGGAAGAAACCCAGGAAGTAACCAACGATGCCATCTTCAGAACCCTTTCTCAGGAGTAAGCCTCACTGAATAGACCTGAGTAGGATTCTGTATAGGCCCCCTTAGGATTGCTCTCATGGAGATGCTAAGCAAATGCTGTGTTGTTCAGCCCCCAAAACTATAATTAGGGTTGTCTACAGGCTTGGAGGAAAAAATGCTGTGTCCCTTTAATACAGGCCTAATGAGTAGAAATGGGCAGCTGAAGCTTTTCATGGCAAGTAGCTAAATAACTTCAACTAGTACTTTCATTAAGCCTCTGTTAAAGGGACAGGATATGTTTTCCTCCAGGAAGTTGGTAACTCGATCTGTAATATGGATAATAACAACTCCAACATGTTTTCTAGACTATGGATTATGGAGATAATACTTGTGAAGCACTTAGACAAGACAGCTAGATATATAAATGCTAAGTATTATTGTAATCTAAACATTTGGATTTTACCGGATTTATAGCCTGCAAAGCTCATGTCACATGACTGAGCATTTAAATTAGGAACATGTGCTGTTGTGTTTATTATTACTGCAGGGGATAAAAGATTCCACCACATCTGTGTGTTTTAATGGCTACTGTTTGCGATGTGTTATCAAATAACCTCACTTGCTCCTTCTCTGGTGCACACGAACGTTGGTTTTCTTTCTGCCCTTTCAGCCCTTTGTCTTTAATGGTTACTTGTGTTCACTTGAAGGGTCAATAGTAAACATGAACTGTATTTTGCTTCTCCACAGGGAGATGGTTCCAGAAAAATGCCCTAAACCTTAACCTGCAAAAAGCTCTGGAGGAAAAATATGGGGAGAAGAACAAAGGCAGCAAATCCTAAGAACACATAAGAGAGGGATGAGAGCCTTCTGGGAAAGTTATCTGCCTCTCCCTAGTGATGGAATAAACCTCCATGCAGCCTATGACGATGTGTGTGCTAAATGTTGATGGGCAGGCAAGCAGGGTTGCCAGCTGGCCAGGAGAAATAACAGCCTGGCTTGCTCTTGCTCTTTTAACTGCCATCTGATGTGCAGAAATCATCAGGTGAAGTTTTTTTGAGGAATCCTATTGCCACTTGCTTTGATCAAATGACTGTTAAAGGCCTAAGGAAGCGAATTCAAAAGCAAGCAGCCTTAAACTAAGGACAGCAATAGAAACTGGAAAAATGCAATCTGGGGTATAAGTGGAATTATTGGGTGTGTGTGGGGGGTGCCAACTTTTAAATTGCCCCTTCTAGCTGTTCCTGTTTACTGTGCTTGATCTAGAGTAAACATCAGGTGAGGTTATTAACTTCCATCCTGTGAAAAGCTTTGACTATTCCTATACATTCAGCCCTCTGTTAAAGGGACAAGACATTTTTCTCCTGGCCAGTAGGCAACCGGGGTGGGTGGCTTACTAGAAAAACAGGAGTATGGGAGACCTGCTCCTGTTCCAGTATTGTTCATACCAGTTTAGCCAGCCATCACCAGCAGGTGATGATGTTCGCAGACCAAGCTGCTTTTTCTTTTTGGGGGGAGGTGGGTGGGTGTCACTGATAACCCTAATGGAAGATACTGATATCTCTTCCCTCTCACTGTATCCTCTCTTCTACTAAAAATCTTCAGTGTCATTTCCTACAGAGTTAAATATATGGGATCTCCCCAGCTTTACACTGTATCTACCACTTTCAGTAACATATTGACAGAGCAACTTAAGATAGTCCTCCTCAGGTCTCCCATCATATTCATCCTCCAAGAGGACAGTCTTGCACAGAAGAAGAGTGTTATATTTTTTGCTCTCACCTGGATAGCCCAGGCAAGCCTGATCTCGGCAGATCTTGGAAGCTAAGCAGGGCTGATCTTGGCAAGTATTTGGATGGGAGATCCCCCAAAGAATACCAGGACTCAGAGGCCCGAGGCAGGCTATCAAGCCACTTTTCTGAATGCCCTCCTTGCCTGCCCCAGTAGGAGTTGCCAGAGGTTACCATGACTTCCAGGCATGGGCATGCACACACACACACACACACACACAAACAAACAAAAGAAGAGTGTTATATTTTTCTTTGTGACATCATAAGAAACTCTGTGGCAATGCCTTTTCTTATGGTTATTTGTATTTCAATCCCCCCCCCAATCTAAATAGGATTAAGTGATCTGATGACTAGCCCTTACTTTGTACTTTACCTCCAAAATAGTGGGAAGGATATTGGTTTGTTTCTCATGGTTTTCCCTGAACCAGGAAGTAAGAAGGGCCTTTCCCAACAGCAGATCCTTCTGGTAAAGAATAGCAACGAACTGTGAAGTGCAGCTAAGAAATCTGGAGAGACTGGCAACCTGAGACTTGAATGGGTTTTTGATACTTCCTTGTTTTATTGCTCAAAGTAAACTCTGTATTAGCTAGATGGTAGTGTGATCCACAAATGACTTTCTTCCATTTTCTATTCTCATCTGGCAAAGGTCAGAAGCAGGAGACTTTCTGGACAATGCAAAGTCAGTTGTGAAAATATCCTAAGCAATAGAGTTCTTATTGTACCACTAGACTTCCTGTGGTCATGGAACTTTTTACATGTCCATTCAATAGATTATGGATCACTTGTGTGTCTCCCACAGAATTCCTATACCCTGCAGAGAAGCCTGGGGCATGTTCTGTGGTGAACTCTCAGTTGGCAAGAGGCAGTGATGAGGTCTGTTGGACACCATATTCTTCTATGAATACAAACAGTGCATCTGAGAGCATTTTGATTGCTCCTCTGTGGCTTCCGGGCAGCATGTCTGCTATTGCTGCTCTTCTCATGGTGGCTGGCCAACTACAGTGCTGGCCAGGATATTTGGAAAGAGGCAGGCATTGTGTGTGGCAGCACAAGAAGGAGGTTAGTTGCTGTAGATTTTCCAGGATGTGTGGCCGTGGTCTTGGCATTGTAGAACCTGACATTTTGCCAGTAACTGTGACTGGCATCCTCAGAGGTATAAACACAGAAAGATGGAATACTCTCTGTGTCAAGGTGACAAGAAGGTGGCTTTTACTGGTTTTCAGGATCTTTGCTTTCAGCCACTCAGAGTTTCTGCAAAGAAGATGATAGACTGGAGAGAAGATTTGCGGTACTTCTTCCAGCAGAATCCACCACACCTGGACTTTTTTGTCTTGATCTAGGGAGTCTTCCCATTGTGGATCTGTTTCAAACAGGGTTTCAGACTGGACTTCCTTGTTTATGCATGCTCTCCCGGGAAAATGACAGATAATCTCTGCACCCTTATTGATGGGAATGAGGTTGATTTAGTTCATGTATACTTTATGAGAAACAATATACAGTAGCAGGAAATATGCTACGGACAATGCACCAGCCTTGGGACAGGTGGGTTTGTTGTGGACTGCAGCCTGATTATCAATATAACCTGTTGCAAAAATGTAAAGTGCTTGCAATTCAAGGGTGTATTTGCGGCTTCTCAGGGCGATTTCTCACAGCACTGTGGAAGTACCCCAGGACCAAGCTGATTCAGGCTGCACAATGCCTTGCTGAATATTCAAACATCTCTCAGCAGTGTGTGAGTATTGTTTGCAATGGCAGCAGATGATGAAGGTTCATTCCAGGTCATGCATTATCTTCTAGCTGAGCCAGAATGAATCAGGTCATCTGCTCTTTTTGAATGACTCCCAGGCAGTCAATATGTTAGACTGGAGCAATGTTCCCTCTAAGCTGTGGAGTCTTGTGAGCAAAAATTCTACTTTGTGAGCTACTGGCATTAAAGTTGTGAGCCAGCAATTTGGCTACTGTTTAAATTACTTTGCTCTGGAGCCCTCCTTCCTGAGCTAAGACAAAAATGTGTGAGCTGGAGGCTAAAAAACTGTGAGCTAGCTCACACTAACTCAGCTTAGAGGGAACACTGGACTGGAGCCTGTACCAATTTGACTTGAGCTGTAATAGTGGAATTGTACCAGGTGCAATGTGGGCGCCATTCATGGACTGAGGCCTTTGTGTGCGTTGGATCCAAAGGCAATACAGCCAGGTTGGGTTTTGCAGACTGCTATGAGCATTTGAAGAATTAACTGTTGCAGTGATTACCAAAGTTCAATCAGGGCTTATTGTATATAGTGCTGTTGGCAAGCCTGCAACCCTAATATTCATAAGAATGAGACCCAAGTAGGGTCTTTGAAGAGGATGGTTTAGGTAGTGTTTTAGATAGTACCGGTATATGGAATAAAATCAAGCTATCTGAGGTTGGACTCAGTGAGCAAACGAAAGATTTTGGAGACAATGGAACAAGGAGCTGCGGTGGCTCAAGTGGTTAAGACGCTGAACTGCAGGCTGTGGAAGGTCGGTAGTTCAGCAGTTCAAGACCTGAGTTGCCGCATGATGGAGTGAGTTCCCGTCTCTAGTTCCAGCTCCTGCCAACCTAGCAGTTCGAAAGCAAGAAATTGCAAGTAGATACATAGGTACCACTTCAGTGGGAAGGTAACAGTGTTCCGTGCGCCTTGGTGTTTAGTCACGCCAGCCACATGACCACGGAAACATCTTCGGACAGTGCTGGCTCTTCGGCTTTGAAACTGTTAAGTATGACACTTAACTCGGAGGAACAGTTCAACAAGTGATTTCAGCTTTATTTCGGTGATAACAGCATGAAGGCTCAGCCTTGTAGGTGCTAGACCAGCTAGACAACTTCCATAGGCAAAAAGGCAACTTATATACAATTCTGGCTGAGATAGCCACACCTACAATGTTGCACAACAACCAATCACATTAGGTTTGTTACATCCAATCAGAATTGCTACATAATGTCCAATCAAAACCCTTCCCTCCAGAATACACACCATTGGTCAGTATTTACAATCCGCATAATGAGTTATGGTAGCTCAAGCTTTTACCATTATGTCTCTCAAGACATAACAGAAACGGAGATGAGCACCGCAACCCTAGAGTCAGACTCGACTTGCTTTCGAGCAAGGGAACCTTTACTTTTAATGGAACTGGGAGAACAAACTTTTTAAATAGGAAATCATCATCATCATCATCATCATCATCATCATCATCATCATCATCATCATCATCATCATCATGCATTTAATTTAAAAAGCAAGTATCAGTTGAAATAGATCACTGACAGAACAAACCAGAGCCTAAGTATGACTGGTACATATCAATATCCCAGAGAATTAACTAAACATATACTTTAAAAAAACAACATCTATAGAATCTTCAAATAATCTAATCATAATGCAAGCTCACAACCAATGTTCCCTCTAAGCTGTGAAGTCTTGTGAGCAAAAATTCTACTTTGTGAGCTACCAGCATTAAAGTTGTGAGCGAGCGATTTGGCTACTGCATAAATCGGTTTGCTCTGGAGCCACCCTTCCTGAGCGAAGACAAAAATGTGTGAGCCGGAGGCTCAAAAACTGTGAGCTAGCTCACACTAACTCAGCTTAGAGGGAACACTGCTCACAACATCAAGATGACTCCTGGTGCTGGGTTGAAAGTGATCCCCTTCATCAGAAGTATAAAAATGTATTATTGTGCATTCCTTAGAATAAACTATATGAAACTCTTGTTTTTAAACAAAGTTGCAAATGTCAAAGACTGTCTTTGTAGTGCAGGACAAATGTTGAAAAGTATCACTAGCTTTTTTTGTATCATTTTGGGTTAAATGCCTTATGTTCAGAATTTGTATACCTCAAAGTATGTACCAAGGTCCATTATAACTGAGTCTGCACTCTGTACAAGCTCAGAGTTTATGAAGTGCCTTTTGCTGGCTAATAGGAGGGAAGGAGAAAGAGGGGTGGGTATGCCTCACATCCTAAGCATGAAGCCCTCCAGTGCCATGGGACAGCAAAGTACCCTAACCAGGAGAAGGACAATAGGCAGCAACAGCAGTTTGGGAGGCTAAAAGAAAAGAATGAACCTTCCTTTTAGGACAGTGAGTGCCCTAATAACCAACTAGCTGGTACAAGCAAAAGTTATCCAAAGAGAGACCGTGAGATACCAGGAGTTTGAGAGAGAGGGCAGGTGACCCAGGAAGGCTAAGTAACTTCCTCACTCCCATATGGGCAGAAGGGGAGGTGTGCAAGACCCACTTCCTCACATCATCATTATACATTCATTTCAGAATTTCTCTTCACTTCTAATATTATTTATTTATTTATTATTTGCATTTATATCCCACCCATTCCGTGGGCAGGCTCAGGCGGGTAACATCATTAGAATAAATACAATTTCAGTTTAAAACAAACATTAAAACACAATAAATCATTGCAACAATTAAAACAATGGGTACAGCTTGGAACAGCGTCAGTTGGCTATAAAGTTCTGGCCCGATGGTACAATGAGTTAAAGGCCAGTGGTCGGTGGTCAGTAGACAGGTGACAGATGGGTGACAACAACCCCAGGGAGGCCATAAATGGGTGCCCACCGCGTCAACCAAAGGCTTGGCGGAACAGCTCTGTCTTGCAGGCCCTGCGGAATTGAAGGAGGTCCCACAGAGCCCTGGACTCAATAGGGAGCCTGTTCCACCAGGCTGGGGCCAGGACAGAGAAAGCCCTGGCCCTGGTTGAGGCAAGACGGGCATCCTTCGGGCCAGGGACCACCAGGGGCCTCAACAATAGGACTGCATTTGAAAAGCTGTTTCAGACCGAGATGGTTGGACCCAACAATTCCGATGCCATTCCCGTCTAGGATTACCAAAGGGAATAAATTGCTTGCACCTCATAATATTCTTGAATATGAGGAACAACAGGAATACAGAAGTACACTCCTAAGCAGAGTTACACCCTTGTAAGTCCTGTACAATAGCTTCCTACTTAGCTATTCAAAACATCAGAACTCTCTTGTGGAGGCCACAAGATATTAGAGCTCTCTTGTAGAGGCCAACTGAGAATGTTTTCCCATTGTGGGCCACACAAATGTAACATTTAAATTCTTTTCCAAATAGCCCAAATGTACACAACATGGGCACAGCAATGCTAGGGATGTGGCATGAAAATGATGCATTAATTTGGGCTAAAGCATGGACTGACGATGCAATCCTAAACACAGCCTTCTAAACCCAAGGACGTCAGAAGGATGTACCTCTGTTTAGGATTGCACAGCGAAGTGACTTTTTTTTTCATTAACATTTTATTGGTAGAATTAAAAAGTTTTGAGAAGTCATAACTACCAATTACATATAACAATAAAAATGTACATAAAGGTCATAAGAAAAGTTAAACATTCAAACCAATACACTAATTACAAAAAAAAATGTAAGCTTTAAAGAATGATACATTCTTCAATAAACCTTTGAACAAAGTAACTTGTTTTAGCCTCAATTTGTAATTGATGCCTGTACTGTTTGTTGCTTTAGATACAACCAAGTGTCTTCTGCCATCAAGATTATCTGTAGACATTCAATGATATATCTAACCATGTTAAACACAAAGTACTACCCACAAATCAAGTTTTACTAAAGCCTACTTACTATAATTTAGTTGAACCATAAATAAGTCCTCACAACCATTTAACATAGTTATCCCAGGATGCTGAGATGAATTTTTTGTCTGCTAGGGCTTCTAAAATTGGCATCCATTTAGCTTCGAACCCAAAATGTACGATGTTCCTTTTATTTCTGTTAACTTTATCAGTGATGCTTTCCATAATGAACTGATTCCACAGCTTCTTGTACCAAGTTTGAATGTTAGGAGGGGAGATATCTTTCCAGCAAGATGCAATAGATAGCCTAGCCGCATATAGCATTGTGTCCAACATGTCACTATAGTGATGATGTGCTATTTCCTCTGACCAAAGGTTTAAAAACAAGGTCTCAGGTGACTTTGGAGTAAGTATACCCAAGATATTATGGATATGTCGCAGTACATCATTCCAGAATGAACTAATTTTTTCGCATTCCCAAAAGCAATGCGCAAAAATCCCTATTTTTTTGCAGCCCTTCCAGCAATCTGGCGAATATTTAGATGTTATGTGAGACAGTCTCTGTGGTGTCATGTACCACCTGGTTAGAATTTTGAATTTGTGTAAATCTATTGATATTGCGCTAGGAGTGTTATTTTTTTTTAATGTCACAATACCTATGAAGTCGAGCTTTTTTCCAATCCTCCAATCTGTGAAAACCCACATGTTGTGTAAACCACGATTGATATATAAAAGTAGAATACCTTGACTGTTGTGGTAAGAGTGTTTTACTGTGTTTACGCCAGACATTGATAGTAGGCATTAGAAACATATTATTTCTGGCCCCAGTTGCCATGATCGGGGTGTTGTTCCAAATAAGTGCCTCCAATGTTGCTGTAGTAAGAGTGTCAGAGCAAATTTGCGCCCATTCAAGCACTGGATCTGAACGCAACATTTTAATGACATTTGACATCAAAGTGGCCCTGTAGTAACAATTCAAATCTGGTAAACCATAACCACCTTGGTTTCTTTTCCGTTTCAGAGTGTGGAAGCTTATTCTTGGTTTTTTTCCATCCCACAAAAAATTGTTTAACGTAGTCTGCCATGTCTTAATAATTTTTAAAGGGATATTGATTGGTATTGTTCTGAATAAAAACAGAAACTTGGGTAATAAAAAAGATTTTATGAGGTAAAATCTCTCAATCCATGTTAAATTCTTTTTATTCCAGTTTAAGATATCAGAACGTATTTCTGCATGTGTAGTTTGGTGATTCAATTGTATTAATTTGGAGAGATCTGTAGGAACCTTAATTCCTAGATAAGTAAGATGGGAGGAGACCCAGCTAAACTCAATTTTTTTCCGTATTGACCTTTGATCCTTTTCAGCAATGTTAATAGGAAGAATTTGTGATTTGGAATGGTTAATCCCTAAACCAGATACCTTATGAAAAGCCTCCAGTAGACGAATCAGAGGTGGAAGAGAGTGGACCGGCTTAGTTATATAGAGAAGCATATCATCGGCGAATAGAGATATTTTATATTCCTTGCCCTGCAAATCTTTTTGCAGGGAGTCAAATCGGTCGTACAAAGGGTTAAACATGCCTGCCATGTGATCGTAAAATTTCTTTTCCATATTGATTAATGCGGTCGTCAGGTCGTTGGCTGATATTGAGGCTGTCTCGTTTGTCGTTTCTAAGTTGCCAGTTGCCATTTTGTTTTCCTTGAGACCAAAGTAACTCGACGTTTGATCAGTTGATTTCTTCGAAGGTATGTGTTGGAATTTTTTTTAGTTTCTTCAAGTTCGGCTGAGCAGATTTTTGGGTTTCTTTCTCCATATATTGTCACGCTGAAGCGTCAGTCTGATTTCTCTGAGGAGTAGGAATCGGGTAGGTCTGGCGGAGATCGGGGGTTAGGCTGCCATCTCGCGTTCCGCCAATGGAACACTCTGCGAAGTGACTTTTAACTATTGCAGTGGCCACATGAATCCTTGCCGCATGAAGCATTTTTCTGAAGTATGACAGCAAGAGCGGATCTTTACTACCAGGGGCTGGAGCACCGAGGAGGGACATTGCAAAACTGAAATTATACTCACACACTAACAGTGCTTTTATTGAGGCACACTCCTTCTCGACACTTGGCAGATAGAACAAAGTTAGAGTCCAGTGGAACCTTTAAGACCAACAAAGTTTTATTCAAGGTGTGAGCTTTCATGTGCGATAACCCATAATCTATTTTTCATTGTCTGAGGAAGTGTGCGTGCACATGAAAGCTCACGTCTTGAATAAAACTTTGTTGGTCTTAAAGGTGCCACTGGACTCTAACTTTGTTCTATGGCTTCAGGCCAACACGGCTGTCCACTTTGATCATACTTGGCAGATGTGAGTTACAGTCTGTGGCTCATTCTCAACAATTTTGTTTTCACGGGGTTGCTTTGTGAGTGAGTGACTGTCTTCTGCAAGCTGGGGTCCCATGTATCCTTCTCGGGTTTTTGTGACAGGCTTGGTGTTAGGGAAGAAGCAATAGTCACCCACCTGGCTTAAAAAAATAGGGCTTTTGCCATCAGGGTTGAACACAAGAATGCCCTTGTTCTGCCCAGGGTCTTTTGTGGATAAAGCACATCTTTCCTTTGGCATAGATTCTAAGGTACCAGGAAGAGTCATAACATATTCACCAAACACATTCTGGGATGTGTTTGAAGGAATAGCTGGTGCTTGGGCCTCAGGTAGGAGCACAGTGTCTGTTTTCTTCTGGTACAACTCTGAGCTGGAGGGAGCATCTGTTGTTTGGGACAGCTGTGACTGTGAGGCAGATGTTTCCATAGTAGCACAGGTGAACATCTCTTTCTTTAAGGCTGCCATGGGTGACAGAAATGATGAGCCCCCCTCTGTGTTCCTTGTTAGATCCTCAGTGGTAAAATAATCCAACATCCCATTCTGTGAGTTATTCTTAGTGCTGGTCGGATTTTGTGGCCTCTGACCTTTGTTTTCCCCATTTTCCAATATGCCACTTTCTGACTGGCCTTCAGATACCACTTGGCTTTTTCCTGGAAGTGGGAGCTTCTCCTTGCCCTCAGAATGGACAGTGCAGAGTGGTGGGATTGTCCCGTTCCCTCTTCCCACCGGAAAAACCTGGAAACATGATCCGTGGGGCAGGTCCACATACTGCATAGGCACTGGTGCCTCCCTCGTTTCTAAGGGGGCGACTTCCTGAACATCAGGCACAGGCAACACTTGAAGGGACATTAAGTATGGACCATTAAAATCAAACACCTGCTGAGCTAGACCCACCTCTGCATTGTGACTGTGGGCAAGTCTGGAGGATGGTTCACCGTGACTCAAACTTTGTTTGGCGTCAGAAAATCCTGTGATTTCTGTATTCTGAAAGACGGCTGAAAGTGGTCTTGTTTTCCCTGACCTGGCCCCAAGAGAGTTGTCACGTGTAATCAGTATGGGCCTGCAGAAGGGAAAATAAGTAAAGAACATTAATCAGTTATATAAGGACGTGGACTGAATACAGCTTCCCAAAGACCATGCTGAAGCTCAGCACCAGCCCTGACCTGGACAGCCCAGGCTAGCCCGTCTCATCAGATCTCAGAAGCTAAGCAGGGTCAGCCTTGGCTCGTATTTGGAAGGGCGACCTCTTAGGAATACCAGGGGCGTGACACAGAGGCAGGCAATGGCAAAACCACCTCTGTTACATCTTTTGCCTTAAAAAAACAAATCTAACTTACCACCTAGTGGTGCATAATGCTAAAAGAGCTTGAACTTCTGGCTGCCAGACAATCTTAGGATCTCCTGGCTGTCCTACACACACTGCCATATGATAATTATTATTAATAATTACTATTAGCTCAGCACCTCAGCAATAAAGTGAAAGCTAGTTGCCTGCTTGCATCTCATAGAAGACGCAGGCAAGATCAAACCATAATACTGTGGCCGAACGATCTGCTTTCTGTCTTTTGAAAGTCTGTAATATCCAGGCTGATTAAGAGTTCTGGTGAGCTCAAAAGCTTGCACGTGTTCCGTTCATTCGGCTGGTCCTAATAAAAATAGCATTACATGGATTTTGTTCTTGCTTCCATACTAGAATACTTTTTCACTGCCTGGTCATTCCTTCTCTTCAGTCCCTGGCAAGTGGAACTGAAACTTGGGCTCCTCTCTGCACTCTTATAGCACTGCATTCCCCGGAAAAATCCAGCAACACTCAGCATAATATATTTACCTGTCCAGTGCACTGCTGCTGTTGAACTCTGCCTCTTCTAAAGAGCTCTGTCTGCTGCTTTCTCCAAAGCTGTCTGGCAGTTGTACCTCCAGGAAGAAAATAATAATAAGTATCAGCTTTCCCTAATTCGGTGGCATGTAGGAACTTGCCTAGAAGGTAGGGAACAAGCCATCCCTGCATGTGTATGTATGGTACAACTGGTCTCTCTGTGTAAGGTTCTCCCCAGACAACTCGTATTTTCAGTACTGATTCAGGGCACTTCTGTGCTCTGTGCCCATCCTGTCCACCCTGGCCACTGTTGTGAGAAAAATAAAATAGTTGGTTCAGAAAATTTAAAACCCATTTATACAGTTAATTTTATAAAGAAATCATAGTGTTTTTCTCTCCTCTATTTCTGTAACTTTCCAAGCAGCTAGCAGCTCAGCGAACATGATTTTGCTAGGCCTTTGTCTCAAGAGATATCTTTCCTCCATCACATACACAGGAACCAACATTTGCATTACATTGTTCATGAATCTAAAGAATTTGGAAACATAATGCACCTGCCATTAAGTCAAGGAAACCAGAATATTTGCAATACTAAAGGCTTGCCTACATGCAGAAATTCACATCACACCTCCAGCCAGCAGACAGTGCCTGACTGCCTCCCTTGCTTCTAGGAAACAAAGAACATCCTGAAATTGTAACATTCTTGTCTTTGTCATTTAGAGATTTAAATGCTATCTTGCATTGTTTTGCAAAAAAGCATCAGGGTAGCCCCACTGCCTCTGGAATGTGGGAATATTTCCTAGACCATAATGGCCCACGTTGCCAGGGCAGTTAGATTAATTGCTGCAGTTTATAATTTCTATAGCTCTATCGAAATGTATGAGACCAATATGGTATAAAGGAAGGCAAGATGCTTCATTTCAGCACTGACTCTCAGAGATCCAGAGAAGGCTTTGTCTTTTGCGAAATTTCTGGGCCAGTCCAGAAGCTTCTGTGCATGGGGAGATCTTTGTTCTGTATATTTAACCACTGACTGTTTATTTTTTTGTATTCCTTGCTTGTCTTTAGCTAATAAACAGTTTTATTGTTTAAATAACCTTGTATTGCATTCCAGCTAACTTTCTTTTAACATTCTACCCGCCTTGGTAAGGGGCACTCACCAGACCGTTACGAACCTAGAGGTGCAGGTAACACTTTATACAGGGTTAGTTTAGACTGACAAGTGCAAGTGCTACAACAGCCACCAGTGGGGGATGGGGGGGGCAAGGTTACCAGATTCAGGTTGGAAAACTCCTGGAGATTTGGGGATAGAGCTTCCAGAGGACCACCCTCCAAAGCATCCATTTCCTCCAGGGGAACTGATCTCTGTAGTCTGGAAATTAGCTGTAATTCCAGGGGATTCCCAGGTCCCACCTGGAGACTGGTATTCCTACAATGTGTACCCTGCCAGACACATTTAGATTATCCCTTCTACAACTGCATTAGCTTGTTTGGGACTTGCACACAATGTGAATTTAGAAGTTTTTACAGTGAATGTAACGGCAGCAAGTCCTTGATTTCAAAAGAATGGTCCAAGATGCCTGAACAAGTGATTCCACTTTGGGGTCAGGAAGCAATTTTTCTCCAGACCAGTTTGGCCAGGGATCCTGGAGATTTTTTTGTCATCTTCTGGGCGTGGAACAGGGGTCACTGAGGGTGTGGAGGGGGAGGTATTTGTGAATTTCCTGCATTATGCAGGGGATTGGACTAGATGACTCCGGAGATCCCTTCCAACGCTATGATTCTAGGCTGAGCAGGCATGAGCATGCTTTCACCTTTCTGGGGCTGTTTTCATCTCCCCCGCCTGACTGTCCCACAGGAGACACCCTGCTTCATTTCTGTACTTGCATGCTGGAGACACATGTAAAATACAAACAAACAACAGGATGGCATAATAGACAAGAAAGGTCAGAGGCTAGCCTAACACACAACTCTTGAGCTCCTGGAGAATTGGAATCCTCCACTTGTAATTGATCCCTAATAGCTCCCGATGATTCGAAGGCCAAGTCAGAAGCACACTGAAAACAGGGACCACAGGGGTGCTGCAAGGCGCTGTGGGGAAAGATGGAGGAGGCCTGATGTGGCTAGTAGGACTAAAGGTCTCTATTGCTACTTTCATGGAATGTTTGCCTGCGTTGGTAGTTTTGTCCAGGAAGGTCATAGGGCACTGTAGATAGGGGGAAACAGGGTGATGCAACTTTAGGCATATAAATATAGCATGCCAGTTTCACTTTGCTGATTTATGCTTTTATTTTGAAAAAGCCCTCTTGATTAGATCTCTCGCAGAAATACTACCAAGGTTAAAGGCACAGAACTCTGTTGGTAGTGTTAAAAACAGCTATGTCTGCATTTGACCTAGGATAAAGAATTCTAGAACTGGCACAGTGAGCAAAAAGGCCAAGCTCCAACCCTGTGGTAGCATCTGCCATCAGTGTTACCATCCTGGGGCCTCATATTCTCAGTGCCAGTACAGGACTGCTATGCTTCAGGGGGCTCCAACATGATCTTCTGGGAGCAGAGTGGTCAAACTGCAAGGCAAATGACAAGAGTTCCTTTCCCACCTTCCAGTATATATCCTATGGGCCTCTTTACCGCATGGAAACTGCCGACATTAGCTCATAGTGAACTAGTCCTAAGAAGAAAAATTCAGGTGGTCAGCCGTGTTGGTCTGAAGCAGTAGAACGAAGTTTTGAGTCCAGTGGCACCTTTAAGACCAACAAAGTTTTATTCAAAGTGTAAGCTTTCATGTGCAACTAACACCCCCCACCCACCCACCCAGGGCCGGCTTCAGGTGTTTCTGCGCCCTAGGCGAGACTGCCTTATGGTGCAGATGCCAACCTCCCGGTGGGGCCTAGAGACCTGGAGCCCTCTGGAGCCAGCCACCCTTTTGCTGCTGCCACCACTGCCTCCCCCCGCCGCCACCACCAAAGGGGGGGAGGGGGGGAGGCACAGCTTGGCGCCCCATCCAGGGCCCGGCGCTCTAGGCGAATGCCTAGTTTGCCTAGTGGGTGAGCTGGCCCTGCCCCCACCTGCATGTAATATTTGAGGAAATCTGTTTCAATGCATTTGAAGAAGTGTGCACATGCTCTGTTCTCCCATGTACACAGGGTTGAGCTTGGTTTGTCTTGGGGGTACTGCTGGACTCTAGCTTCATTCTCAGATCCTTTTGTTCACTCTTGCATTTACGTGCAAATTTGCTGTCCTCCACAGCTCTGCATATGCACCTTGGCTCTGAGTGGCCCCTCTTAATGGCTGCCCCACCCTCTTTTTTCCTGTAAGTAGCCTTTGAGGAGACTTGATTCCATTTGTCTGAAGAAGTGTGCTTTGCACACAAAAGCTTACACTTTGGATAGAACTTTGTTGGTCTTAAAGGTGCCACTGGACTCCAACTTTCTTCTTGTCCTAAGAAGGAAAGTGATGGTGGCATCCTAAAAAATGGGATGGAATAACCACCTTATCTGCAGTCTGGTTTGCCCTTTGCACCCTGGATGTTGTAAATCCTGCTTGCTTTCTTACCTGCTGTCCTATTATTTTCAGGCCATCATTTAGGGGATGGGTTCTGTGGCTAAGAAAGTCCATTGCAAGGCAGACTGGGCAGACCTAGGCAGGTGAGAGACTTCTGGCAGGGGCAGCTTATCTTGCAGCAGGAAGAAAAGCCCTGACCTGGATCGCCCAGGCTAGCCCAACCTCATCAGACCTTGGAAACTGAGCAGGGTCAGCCCTGGTCAGTATTTGGATGGGAGACCTCCAAGGAATACCAGGGGCATGTCATGGAGCCCAGCAATGGCAAACCACCTCCAAATGTCTCTTGCCTTGAAAACCCTACCGGGTCACCATAAGGCAGCTGTGGCTTGACGGCAAGAAAATAAAAGCTGCTTATGCTGAAATCCTCCTTTTCTGCACAGAGATGAAAGGTACAGGGGCCTTGTCACCTTTCACAGCTGCCGAGTCTAAGAAGTTAAGAGAGCTGTGATTTTACTCTGTGCATTGAGACTCATATTCTGAGCCAGAGCCATCCATACCTCTTGAGATGCAAGAAGGGAACCAATCCTCTGACACATGAAATGCTATAATTGACCGGGGGGGGGGATGGCAATGGAAAGGTAGCTTGCCTGACTGCCAAAAGTAAAGTTGCTTGGTCTTACAATCTTTTACCGAGTACAAATAAGTAGTGCAGAAACAGGGCAGTTCCTATCTCATGGGAGCGGTGGCACAGTGGGTATATCCCACTGTCTTAACATCCGAACTGTGTTAGTTCGAGCCCCGCACTGGTGTGAGCAGCCAGCCTGTTGTCCCCAGCTCATCGTCCACCCAGCGATTCGAAAGCTTCGGCGAGTAGATAAAATGGGAACCACTCCTTAGAGAGGGTGGGCACACAAATCTCCCTTGTGGGAGCATGTTAGCTGACGGTCGGGACATCCTGGTCGAGGTTCGGAAAAGGCGGAAGAACATCTCGGCTACAAAAATCCCTGCAGTGAATGTTTCCGGCCAGGCGGTGGCAGTGTGGCAATTTGACATACGGGTCCTGAAGCCTGGTCAACAAGCAGCCGTTCGGAAAATGACTGAGCCAAGCCAGAAGAAGTTTACACCGTGCAGTGACGGCGTGTGCAATTAAATGAATATATGTTGTCTTCCCTATCCCCTATGAACATTGTTAGTCCCCTGTCTAAAATGTGTAACTGTAAATCGCTTTGAGACCATTGGGGAAAGCGATTAATAAATTGAAAGTATAATTGAAAGTATAAGTATATGGACAATGGCTCATTCAGTTATGGGCAAACGTATGTAACAGAAACACTGTCTTCAACCAAAGAATTCCAATGGGGTGTCTGAAGGAGAATCCAGTAAGAGGTCACTTACCTTAAAATAACCTAGGTGCAGAAATGTACTAGGAGGTCTTGGAATGTTCTTCTCCCATTCCCTTTTCTTTCTGTGGTAGAAACATAAGAATTGTTCTACTATATCAGACCAAGCAGAGTTTCACCTGCCTCAGTCAGGACCCCGTGGCCGGGGAGGGGCAACATACACATTAGGAATGCCATGTAGAAACCTGCTAAAACAGCCTCCACATGGAAACTGCCAACACAAAGAATCCGTAATTCACCACATGAATCGGCTCTGTCACATGAAGAGTCACCACACCACTGCTAGACATTCCTGGGATTCGGTGTTAATACTCTTGGGGGGGGGGGCTGCAGGTGACCCCTGCGGTGAGCAGCTGTACTGATTACCACGGCCACCTAAAAGCTGTTTCCAAGTGGCATCTGAATCACATATATTAGCTTGAACTGGGAGGAAACATACAAATGGGTCACAGAGATCTGCCGATGCCAGTCCAGCAACTACCATGACATTTTGCCTTTCACCTGTTCCTGTTTGTATCTTTCCATGTGTAGTGGGAGACAGGTCTCCATATTATGGGAAGGCAGCTCTACTTGGTGCTTGTTCAGACACAGTGGCTCACCATGGCAAACATTTCTTCTGGGACATCAGTAGTGGTATGGTGAAAATCTGCATGGTGGGACCTCATCTGCATGGTGGGATGCAGCACATAAACAGCTCATTTTGTGGGTGTCTGCTGCTAAAGTGATTTAAAGCCACTGGAAATGGCACTGAATTTCATGATAATTGGTTCCGTTCAAACCTTTGGGTCTCTTAAAGTTTCCCCATACTTGAGACAGAACTGCTGTTATCTCTTGATCCCCTGCCATATATATGAAACATGATAAGAAAAATTTCCATGTAAATGGATGCCTGTTTTTGTATCAATTGCAGATATACAGCATATAATACATAATTGGCACACAATGGCATTAAAATGGCATCAAATTTATAAAAAGGCTGCAAGAGAAACAAGAAAAATAGAAATTTGCCAAAGGAAATAGAAGGGACAGTAACAACCTTGACAACTATGTATGGAAACGAAAAGAAAGAAAAGAAAAAACATACTTGCAAATATCTAAAAGCATCTTCAATCTTGTTTATTATATGCCTACATTCAGGCGCTGAATCCAGATAGTGGAGCCTACATAGCACCTTCTTTCTGCCCCTCCACCATCCCTCCACCACTGTCCCAGTGCATCTAGGAGTCCATCCTATTCACAACAGAGGCGTACCTGAGTAGATATCTTTTGCTGCACCAGAGTCCCACCGTCGCCAAAATGATAAAGGCTGGCACAGCAAGGGCAAAACTCCAGACAGGCAATTCTGAAACAGAAAAATCACAAAGGGAAATGATGAGAAACCAAAATGAAAGTCAAAACCATCCTCAATCAAAAATAGAATGGGATGTGAAAATGTAAAATGCTAAGGAATTTCGGAACATGAGACTGTGTACTAACGGTTGTTTGAACTTCTGAGCAGGTAGAATGTTTATAACATTCCATGACACTTTGGCAGCTTAGCCGACTCAGATTAATATACTGACACCATATTTTGTTTAATAAAACAGCTGCATTCTGCAAATCTATGCGTTTTGGGTTTAAAGTGACATCTCATTAATCTCTACCCAAATGAGATTTTCCAAAACTGACCTTGCTTGACATATAGGGGTGTGTATGTATGTGGTAGCAGATAGGTAAATAAACAGCTGATTATCAATTGGTTAAAACATTTTGAACATCTAAAAGATTCTATAAAAGTTAAGTTTTAAAAATTCATTACAAGTACTTATAAAAACTAAAAGTGCTATCTTAAAAGACATTAAACTTAAAGGAATATAACGTTTACAAGCGCCTGAGCAGAAATCATCTGAGAAGAGGCATTCCCCATTTAATAGTTGACTAAATCTGCAGATGAAACAGAATCTAGGAGCAGAGGTCCATCAGTGGCTATTAGCCACAAGGTATAGATAGGGACTCTGGGGCAAGTGATGCTCTGTCATCTTGGTGCTTGGGGGGGGGGGTCAACAGTGGGAGGGCTTCTAATGTCCTGGCCCCACTGGTGGACCTCCTGATGGCACTGGTATTTCTGGCCACTGTGTGATACAGAGTGTTGGGCTGGATGGGCCTTTGGCCTGATCCAACATTGGTGTCTCTTATGTTCTTATGTTCTTATATCAGCACAACCCTCCACTGAAGTCCAGTAAGTGAAATGTGGGGCAAACGCCAAGTGCTGAAAATGCTCCTGGTCTCAGGGTTACATTTGTGTTGACCAGTGGTATTGTGTTTGGAGGGAAAGGATCGGATAATTTCAGATGTTGAAACATACAGGTTTTCCGCATTCTCATTTTCCCTTGTTTGCAAGTTTCTGTTTCTTAAGGGGTGGCGGGTTTCTGTTCTGCACATGTTTTGCTCCCTCTAGTGCTCAATTCGATATTGTATCATTTTATGTCTGGCATATCTCCCTGCAGATTTAAACGGCCTGTTTTTATGCCAGATATAAACCAGTGTAATATCAAATCAACCACTAGAGGGAGCAAACCACATGTGGACAGATCCCTCCCCCCCCCAAAGAAACAGGAAAATGAGAATACAGAAAAGCCCATCGTTCTTGTTAGTGCTGCTCTGTCCCCCTCCACGTGTGAGGTCCGGGACAAACATCCCCATTCCTTCCCTCCCACTAAAAATGGGCCTGAGTGTCCTCATTCAGAAATCTCTGTTACTTACCACTTTCAGTAAACCATTCACATTCTTTGCTCCACTCACTCCATGGGCCATCATAGGCACCAGCATGTGCTTTTGCCCGCATCTTTGCCTTGTAATGGGTTCCTGGTTCCAGTGACTGAAAAGTAAACTGCGAATCATCTTCACTGATGTTCTGAAGATGGTTCTGAGAAGAGAAAGGGGTAAATTATTGTTATTACTTTAAAATTCCAGGTCTTGTTCACCTACTGTGATGCCATCAACTACAGCTTACCTTCTCAGGCACCTTGTCAGCCTCCCAGTATAAGACTTGATACATCCTTGGAAACATGGGTTTTATGTATTCCCATCGCAGTTTGTACAGCTGGTTGTTCAGCTTTGCCACAGAGAGTTCATAAGGAGGTTCCACCTTGACTAGAAAACAGAAACCGTATCAGGCTGTGGACCCTTCCATCCAATTACGTTCCTGCCCTCACCTCTCTAGCACTTTCCCACGAGGTACTGATGCAAGGACAGAGCATCCTGCAGTGCATATGAGGGACACATGTAGCAGAAAACAAGAACCAGTTCTTTTTACAATGTAGATTTGCCAACCTAGTCAGGACCAGGGCAAGATAAACCCACACAAAGTAAAAATGCACCTCACTAATCACTAACGAGTGATGTCACTAACGCTTGTTTGTCATCTGGTCCGGTGTATGAATGTTTCCAGCTTGTAATAGGATGTGTTCCATACTGAGTACCATATCGTTGAGGATATAAAGTGAGCTTGTAAGCTAGCATCAGTTAGCAAGTAACTCTGGAACATGTAGCTTTCCAGGTGCCTCAATTCTCAGCAGAGATCTCTGGCACCTGGAAACTACGTACCTCTGTGATAGTTCTTGGGGTGCTGTTGTGGGCATGCTCAGTAGCATCACTGAAAGTGCAAGGCATTTTTTTTTCATATGTGCGTGTGCGTGTGTGTGCACCTGGAAGTCATGGCGACCTCTGGTGACTGACTGTGTGTGCACTTGGAAGTCATGGCGACCTCTGGTGACGCCTGGAGGATATTCAGAGAGGTGGCTGAATAAAGCCTGCCCCCGCCTCCCGCCTTTGGTATTCCTTGGAGGTCTCCCATCCAAGTACTTGCCAGAGCTGACCCTGCTTAGCTTCTGAGAGCTGATGAGATTGGACTTGCCTGGGCTATCCAGGTCAGGGCAAGTGCAAGGAATTTTTTAATGTGTAGTTTTCTACTGAGAAATCAGACACTCTGGAAACTACGTTGCCCAGGGTCCTTAGCAAATGTGAAGCTGCCATTTCGGTGAACTGGGTGCTAAAGAAGGTCATTACAATTGTTGCTGCTGCAAGCAGCAGAGATGGCAGAGAAAAGCTCAGGGGCTCATGCGTGAAGGGACCGGAGGACCCTATGGAGAGTTTGGAGACTCACAGGGTAAAACATCTGAGCCCTGTCCTAAGCCCTAAAGCATCATCAGGTGCATGAGGGGCTTTTTGAATGGACTTGGGAAAAATAAGCTACTATCTGATTTTTCAGAAAGTATTCCATCTGAGCCCATTCTGAACTGAGCACGCGGGGGGGGGGGTGTTTCACTCATCACTATCCAGAACACCTCTGAATTTGAAGACAGTTCTAGGATGTGCAGTCAGCTTGCATGGAGAAGTGGTCATGGCAAAAGCATGGTTAGTGCCTGAATTGGTTATTTCTTCAAGAGGAGAACCTCTCTTGAATTGTGCCGCTCCCAGCTGGCTGCCTAGTCTGTTGGTTGAGGATGCCATGGCTACAGTCACGTGATCACATTTGCTTCTTCATGAATGGGCAGTGGCGGCGGCGGCAGCCATAAAATCGAGGGTTAGAGGCACCTGCATAATCCCCTGCGCATCAGTACAAGTATTTTCCAAAAGAGGCTCACTGTTGGATACTGGTGCAATCGTTTTCTCCTCTTCCTTGGGCCGCACAGTTATGAGGTACTGGCTTAGCCTCTTGGGGTTGGTGACACGGATCTCGCAGCTTTGCAAGACGTGAGGGGTGTCCAGTAATTCCTTCTGTTCAACCGGAGAGCACTGCATCTCTCTGAAACAAGAAATATGACAAGAAATAGCTAAGTCGAAGGCAAACAAAATAAACCAGAAAGCCAGTGGTACTAATAAAATTTATTCCAACATAAACTTTCATGAGTCAAAGATCACTTCATCAGATGCACTCTTGTGTAGAATCCACAGGCCAGTTTATATTTGCTACACAAAGGGTGGATGGGGGACGCAAGCAGACTCCAAGGCAGCTTTGCTAAGCTCACTTACACAGATTCTGGGCTGATTTTGTAGAAGAGCGCAAACGAGACAGAACGGGTGAGCTCTCGCCTCACCTCCCAGCTGCAGTTTAGCCGATCTAGGCCGTTAAATAGACAGCGAAGGTTCTTGGGCTGAGCTTCATCACCTAGCAGAGAAACCAGGAACATTTATTTATTTTAAAAATATTTATACCCCACCCCTTTCCAGCACTCAGGGTGCCTTACAAACAGCTTAAAAACAGCTTTATGCAACAAAATAAAACCATATAATCCCGCCGGGGGGAGGACATAAGAAGAATCAGTCTGTCCATAAATGATAAATGCCATCAAAATCCGCTCAGCCAAATGCTGTCGCAAATAGAAAGGATCTGCAGGCCTTCCTAAAGGCCGTCCTCACTCTTGCAGAGGGCCTATTCTATAAGAGAAGGCTCTTGAGTGTGTAGATGTTGGACAAGCTTGCTGCACTGTGGATACTGATAAGAGCACTGGCTCAGACAAACAGGGCTGGAGCATGGTATCATGTATGGAGCTCTGGTGCGGGACATCTGGAACTAGACCAACGGAAGACTGAGCGGCCTTCCCCCTTTCTGATCTTGTTTTGCTGTTTCTCTGCTGCAATCTATACCTGTTCAATTCTGGTTTAACTAGATGAGTGTTTAATTCCTGGATCACATGTAGCACAATGTGCTTGCATTTCTCCACCCCACCCCATGTTACATACCAATGCACATTGGTAAAACACTACAAACAGCACCCTTAAAGTAACTGCAAATATGACCGACAGGTAGTATCAATAGTGCATGACAGTGCCCTTGTACTACCAAGTTTACAGCACATATCGCCATTCAACACGGGACCCACCCACCATATTATGTCCTTTTTTTGTGTGCATATGGAAGCAGGGCTGGCCCAGCCTAGCAAGCAGGTGGGGCAGAGACCAATGGACTGCTCAAAGCAAGCAGAAAGCATTTGTGACTCTAGTATTTCTATCTCTGTGCACGTTCCCAAACTCCACATCCAGCCATGCCTTTTTTCTCAAAGCTATTTTTCATTAGTGCTACTCATTCCTCTTTTCTGATGTTTTTGAGCCACAATTTGTCAGAATGCTTTCTGGTGCACCATCACTTTAAGCAGTCGCCCTATGCAGGGGTCGTTTCGTAGAAAAAGAGCTAGGGAAACTCATTAGCATAACTCATTAGCATATGCCACACCCCCTGACATCACCGGAAGTGTGTCATAAGGCCACACACCCTGCCCCCAACGGTCCCGGCCGCCGCCGCCGGCCTTGCAGTTCCACTGCCGAGCCCCATGAGGGGCCCGGCGGTGGACCTGCAAGGCCGGCGGGAGTGCAAGGAAGCCCGGCAGGGAGGAAACAACTTACCCTCCCTCTTCTCCTGCCTCCTCCTGGCTGAATGAGGGCCGGAAGCGGGGCGGCCGGAAGCAGGGGGGGCTTCATCGTGTGCCCCGCCCCCCGTACCTCACCCGGGGGAACTGCAATCCCCCACGATCCCCCCAAAATGACCTCTGACCCTATGTATATTCGCATAGTTACCCCATTCAATGCAGGCGCAAAATGTGCTTCTATGTGTCACGGCAGGACCAGGGGGCGTGACACAAGCAAGCAAAAGTCCAGGAACAGTCCGAGGTCAAGCCGGGCAAATCAGGTAGCAAGGTTCAAGCAGGTTTAAATCACAGTCCAAAAGCAGGGTCAGACATACCAAAGTTTCAAGTCCATAAATCACAACAATACCAGAGGAGTCAGAGATGAACGCAGGGTCAACAAAGCCAAAGGTCAAAAGCCGAGGATCAAGCCGAGAAGAATTCCACAAGGTCTGGAGCAGAGATGCAAGGATTCAGGTCCTGAACAAACGACGTTGCCAGCACAAATGACTGCTGGCAACAGACTTGCATATATACAGTGCTAGCTAATCAACTCATTAGCTAGCCAGGAGTGAGGACAGGATCCTGTCAGTAATCAGGGCTAAGAGATCTTCTGGCACGCATGCGTGCATTCTGCCTTCGCTCTCTCAGCTGTTGTCTTCTTACATTCCTGAGCCTGGTTACAGGTGGAGGCGAGTCTGATGATGAATTACTGGGCTGCAGCAGAGACTGATCCCTTGCAGGTGTTCCCTGGGAGGCTCTATCCTCCTCACCACTTAGATAGCTTTCAGCTACAGGATCCAGTCTTTGCCTTTCTGCTGCAGTACTGTCCTCAGGAGCCTGTTCAGGGTCCTCAGGAGCCTGTTCAGGGGCATCAGCAAAGGCAGGCATGACATCAGCAGGGGCAGGCATGACAATCGGGAGCTTCAGACCCTGGTGTCGCGCCAGGCTTCAAGTTGCCAGTTACCCCCTGCTTACACTGCAAGCCTCCCGCTTTCGCGGAAGAACTTGCCTTCTGGATCGTCTCCCGTCCGTCCATCCACACGTGGCCCTCTTCTCCGTATCAACTCTCCTCCTGTCTTGTTGGCCTTCATCTCCCAGTTTGCCTCAGTCTGGGGGAGAGACAAAGAGTAGGACTGAAAGGCCCGTCTGAGGCCTCAGGGCCCGTTTCCTCTCAGCCCAGCCCGCTGGGTGACCCTTTCAGCAAGCTGGTATCTTGCAGTGTTTGGTTCCCCTTTGTTCCCGCCTGTCTAAACTCGAAAAGGAAATGCATGGCAGCTGTTCAACCCTTCTCTATCTTGGCCTTCAGCACTGGCTTTTCCAGGTTTGCATTTTCCTGCTTCCATGCTGTTACCATACTGAGGCCTGGAAGGAGTACGGGAGAAAGATCAACATTTCAAAAAATCCCTCTGTCAGCCAAGACCGGCCCCCGATGAACGGTAGCAAGCTCTGAGTTGGGAAATACTCGGAGA